AAACAAATTACAGACACAAGTACTTAAAACGTACAGAAAAAACCACTCTTAGATTCAACCTTTCGTTTGATTTTTTAAAAACACCAACATGATATTTATAGTTTGGTACATGTACCCTTATTCTCCTAATATTATAGAAAGATCAATCACAATAACAAAAAACAAACAAACAACGAACACAGCAATAACAACAACATCAACAACAGTAGCAACAACAACAATAACAACAACAATAACAACAACAATAACAAAAACAAAAAGAGCAACAACAGCAATATTAACAACGACAACAACAACAACAACAACAACAACAACCCATTTGTGTTTTGAAGGACGACGTCATATTATTTTCATACTCTGTGCTGTTTCTTTTTACTTAATAACTCCTGTTTTGCTTTTATTTTCTCAGTAAACGCTTGCAGCTGTCACTCCGCCCTATTATGAAAGCGAAATGCAAGACAATTTAAAGAAACATAATACTATAATATCTTTTATTAGATCTATCCAAACTCATCATCTAGAAAACCAATTCCCTTCAAATAACAAATCTAAGGTTCACACGTAATGTATACAATGCGTAGCAGCTAAATGGACGACTTGCATACCTGAGATTGGTTGGAAATAATTCTGGAGTGAATATAAACAGGCAACTGAAACAAACACCGATGCCGAACTTTCCAACCAAAGAGAATACTGTGGTTAATGTTCGTTCCAGACCCGAAACTCCTGTAAATGAGAAGAATAAATACATGGATTAAAATTTGTTAAAAATATATTACACAGGTGGTTTTACCACCCCAAATTTTCAGTTTAGATCACTTAGGAGGTGGGCTTCTGATACACCACCTGTTAGGGTCAACCCGGGCTGAGAGGATTAACTAAGACAGCCCCCTCCCCAATACCCCATCACTCCCCCCAAAACCCCACAAAAAATAAAACAAAAGAAGACCCCCCCTCCCACACTCACACATACACACAAAAAAGCAACAACAATACACACACGCCTGGTCAAATTTCGATGCAAAATGTAGGCTACAAATAAATACCAAATATAAATGTAGGCCTATGGTAGAATTTGACCTTAGTTCTTCGATGTCCCAGAAATTACTCAAAAACGGACCAGCCGTGAGAGCTCAATTTGCCTCAGGCGAAAAAGGCATTCAAACGAGCGGACGCATGGTGTGGTATGAACACGACATCCTCATTTATTAGCTGCTACCGTCCGTTACACGAACGGACCGATGCTGGTCTTCGGTCTGAATGCACCTAGCTAGCCCATTGTTGACTACGGCCCTTGCCAGAATTCTGCTCCCGAGGAATTGGGCATTTTACCTGTTCACCAGGAAATGGACCAGCAAACTGGTCGTTAAAAATTAAAAGCAATACTGTGATATGTCTTCCTAAAGCATTATCATACTAAAAATGTTTATTCTCTTTTGGTATGATTTATCAACATTAAAGGTCAATTTCAAAATTTTGTAGTTTTCTCCTTTTGTTTAATTTTGATTTTCATCCCCTCGGAGTAAGACCGCTTGACGTCATAAATTAATCCTCAGCTCATACTCATAGGTAGGCTGGTCAATGACATTTCTTTTACGCGATGCTATTCTAGTACATAATATACATGTATGTATTTCATCAGATAATTCTGGTCTGTTTCTTAAAGACACATCTTCCTACCCACCCTCGCAATAAACCAATGTTTTGAAAGACCCAGACGAAGCACAAAAACCTGACTCGTGATATTTATAATTTGCACTCCACAATGTCTAACATGCTGTAGCTTAGACCTTTCTTTGTATTGGAACAGACAATAGCTAATTAGAGTCAGTTTTGAAACTAACTAGCTGAGGTCGGTTAGAATGTAGTCATCACAGGTATTGTTTTTCCTGAAATAGAATAGTTCAAATTCAGAGGACATTATAGAAACAATTCTGACACCCGTTGTGAAAAATAGAGCAGTGCAATAGAAACATTGTCCAAACGTATACCCTCTCCTCCCCCACCCAATCCAACGGCCTAAAACGAGCCTCAAATGTTTGCCTGAGTGTGTTCTTTGAACTATAAAGTAAAGAGACATAATTTATGTCGTAGGACAAATAGACAGAAACAGTTGAGGAACCGGGTCAGTGCACTATTTAACACTATAGAAAGAATCCTGTCACTTGTTTTGAAAGATAGTGTAGTAGGCCTACTATAAAAAAAAGTATTGTCCACCCCCCCCCCCCCTCGGGCAAAAATGAGCCCCAGATGTTTGCTAAAGTCTGTTCTTTGAACTATAAAGTAAGATAATATACGTCAATGTAGAAAGATGTAGTGATTTATTAGTTTTCAGAATTACTGGGAGGCTATAGGTAGAGAATCCCATCGTGTATGATATGTAAAACACAACGATAAAGAGGCCATTGACTCACATTTTCTGAAATCTTCTTTAAGTGAACCGTGAAGAAAAGCTGCGCACGAAAAGTAATTTGTAAGCCTTGTAATTAATGTATCTTTTTGAGGGCCAAAAACAGTAGGCTGTACACGTTTTGGAAATATATTTAAACAGTCAGTATTCTGAAACCGAACAGTCATATTTGTTTTATTGTTATAGTATTATGCGAGTGATTTGCAGCTGGTGAAACTCTTCGTTCGACGGAAAACTCGTGAGTGGTATGAGCTTTTTTCCCCCACATAGACATTTTAATACGTACCGTATGCCATAAGTAGTGAAGCAGTCAGAAGGCCGCTGCCAGTTATTCCGAGAGAAAACATGGCAAGAAAACGTCGGCCGATTCTGGCAGAGGAAAAAAAAACATCAACACTTGCTCATTATTTTGCCCCTCTAATACTTTCAAAATGATGATCTATTAACATTTCTTTTTGCTTATTTTATCCTATTTTCTGCATCTTCTACTTCATCTGTATACCATAACCTTCTATTCCAGTAACTCCGTACGTACCCCCTTTTATTCTGCTCTCTCCCCCC